AAAGCTCAGACAGGACCACTCGAGCTACAATCCGAGGAGACTTGTTTATACCCCACAGACGGACAGCATTTGGGCAGAACGTCCTCTCTGTTAAGGGTGGCCATCTGTGGAACAGTCTTCCTCAACCCATTAGAGAATGCTCGACATTCAATTTGTTTAAGGCAAAGGTTAAAAACTGGTTATGGACAAATCAAGTGTGTGATCATGTATGAGTTGTATAGTTTTAATGTTTTATTTGGGAACAGAATGGTGTGTATGTTTATGTTTGGTGATGGAGTTTTTATTATGAATGAATGATGAATTTTTATGAATTATTATGTCTATTTTTTATGCTTAAGGACAACAGATGGAAATTAGCCCTTGGCTATAATCTGGTATGTTTACATTCATGTAATTTTTTTTTACATTTATGTTCATTAACATGCACTGTCCTAAATAAATAAATAAATTCAAAAATAAATTGTATTTTCTCTTAGTTTAACTGCAAACCGATCGAGAGAGATTTGACCTCAGCTGAGATCAATCAGCTGCAAAATGTGCTATTCTAATAACAGATATTAATGATAAAAAGTGCAATCATGAAGTACATCCTGTCTCTGGCAACAGTCCAGAGACCACACAGGAGTTTGCAGTGAAGCATCACAAGCATGATCAGAATCATGCTTATGGGGTGTTGCTTTTTATTTTTACATTTGAATGCCCGTGGCTGTAAATTTTGCAGGACTGCCCAGGCTGACTGTTATGATATCACCAGCCGTCTGAGGGAGAATATTCAGCAGACTTCCTTTGTCCTCTGTCCAGAAATGAAATGAAAATTAAACGGTTGCCATTCTGACACACTGAAGGACATCTCGTGGTCATTGCAGAGGCACGAGTGAAAAGAGAGAGGAGGGGACGAATGCTGAATGTGGTCCAGTAAGAAAATGATCCTCAAGGATCCAAATTTAATTGAGGTTCCAGGTTGTACAGAAAGGATTACACGTGTGTAATATAGATTAAAGATTAAAATATAGATTTTGATGTCTGTCTAGCTGTTCTGAGATCATCAAAGTGGCTGATTGTAACTGTCCTAGTTAATGGGCAAAGGAGGAAGCTCAGCTTTGCACTGGCAGTTCAAACATTCAGGTTTATATTCTCTTAAAGTTCCTACATTATTAATCGGATCGAATAATTATTTGATTGCACATATTTCTCATACTGTCTGTCCCAATATGTGCAAAAAGCACTTGCTTTACAAAGATCTGCATAATCAAAATGCCCAACCTTACAAATATCAGATGAAACTCCCTCAAACGTTAATAACCTCCTGACAAAGGTAATGATTTTGTACATGTGTCAAACTAGACTAAAATAAAAATAAAAAACAACATTTTTTTAACTGTGGCAAGAGAAAAAATTCAAAATGAAGTCTTTGTCTCCTCTGAAAAGAGAAACCACTTTGACAAAACTGGTCATATTAGTAATGATGACTTTTTTAAACATTGTGTCTGTCGAATCGATTCGGTTTTTTTTACCTTTTCCTTCAGGCAGAAGCTGTATCAGCTCATATCTGGATGCCTGTTTGGGGTCTTGATTGTGCTTTTCTAAGGCAGAGCTGATCACAGTGGGAGTCTTGTCATTGCTCGTAACCTGAGGCGACAAAGGACAATAACAGTGAAAACAGGACAGCCTGATTTGCACTAATAATAACCCGAGTCCGTTGTATCCTGAGGATCTGACTCTGATTACTATGATTATGGGGTCCTTGCAGATAGGAGGAGAAGCTGCAAGTGCAAATTGTCACTGATAATTAACGACAAAGGCTTCTGTGCTGATTCTGCTGATTTTAATTAGAGACAAATGGTTTGGATTCGTACCAGTATACTCCGATACAGGTTTCCATCCTCCAGGTCCATCCGTATCCTGATGATCCGCATGTCTGCCCCTGACCCTTGGATGTTACCAGGGGGGTTGTTGCCACAGGAGGCTGATCGACGGTGTGATTTCGTAGGAGTGGTTGGAGTCAGCGTGGCAGGGTTGGATTCATTGGTAGGAGGGGACGTGTCAACATCCAGACAGGACACAGACGGAGATCTCATATGCTGCAGTAGAACAGTAATCACGGAAATGATAATGACTGAGTGGAATCGGAAACTAATCTGTATATTTAAAACATGCAAAACAGCCTGCCTACTGTGAAATGACATAATATAAACAGAAACCTGTTGAGTGACTTACCTTTGTGAGCTTTGAAAGCAGGTTATTGACGGGTGAGTGAAAGTCAAAGAAGCTGTCACTGTCACCAGCCAGGCTGGTTCGGGAGGTGCTCAGACTGCAAATGCATGAAAACACACAACAATCTGAGAAACTTGTCAGGGAAACTGGTTTATTTGTTACAAATTTGCAATAAAGTTTTTACACTAAAGTTAAACTTTAGTTAAACAGTTAAAATCTAAATTTTTAAGCAGCACAGGCTTAAAGGCTCAAATTTGTTTCTATGAAAATTATTAAAAAACTTAAACCACCGTGACCTTAGGTCCAAAGAGATATTAGCTTAAGTTGAAATAGGTCTGTACTTTTATTTAGTACCAGCTTATTCCACAAGATGGTGGAGTGAGTTCATGCAAAATTAATTTAACCAGATTAGTCATTAAATTATTATTTAGAATGACGGTCTGATAAAACATAAATCTTCTTGAGGAAAGATAAGATAAGATAAGATAGCTCTTTATTGTCATTGCACAGTCATACATAGTACAGTAGTACAATAAAATTGGAAAACTGTCCTACGTCGGCACTACATATAACACAACACGACACAAACGACAGTATATTAACTTAGTAATAAAAAAAGAAGAAGAAGTGTATGTGTATTGCACACTGTTATTATTGCACATTAATTATTATTGCACCTGAAATGAAGGCAGGACTAAAAAGAAATATCAAAAAATTTAACATGAGCACTTTTTTAATGGCTAAAATCCTGCCCCCCAGTGGTAAAAGTGGATAATTACAAAAAGTATCATAAAAACTAAAAAATATCTGTAACCAATCCAGGGCTCTGGTTTGTTGACCATGTAGTGAGAAATATTTTTTAAAGCTTCTTTACTGCAGTGGTCACCGACTGACGAGTCGAGAAGCCAAAATCCGCTTCCCATTAAAATTCTATATCCTAAACTGTATATGTGGTATTGCATATATATACTTATATTTAGTGTTATGTGTTTATGAATGAGTCAGTGAGCTCTGCTTAGCTTACTCTGGACACTGTGTGATAACGACAGCTGGGGGATGACCGCGAGGGCTCGGGTCGCCGGGTGCTTCGATTTCATTGGACAGCCTATAACTGAAAAATTAAGGATAATTTTATCATTCTTCATCCATCAACACGTGCTACAGCAGCTGTCTTTAAATTGATGAATTCATTCATGGTTGTCTCGACTGTAACCAAATGGATACACACCTTTCCTCTTCCCTCAGAGTAGGCACGCTGTTATACCACTGCACGAAGGCCTCGTCAGCAGTGAAAACACAGTTTTTGCAGGAAGATTGCAGGAGCCGGATTTGAGCTAAAACCTCAAATTCCTGTTAACAAAGAGCCGTATCACCACAGAGTTTCACAACAAAAAAAAACCCAACCCATGTTAGCTGTTCTCTTATTACTGTGCCAGCTTTTTTCATCTGTATCAGAAGCACCTCTCAGCACCCTACACTTAATCATTTCCTCCCTCAGATATTATGTTACTGCTCCCTCTTACACACTCTTTTCTTACTTACACTAGCAGCTTATGTTAATGCTGCAAAAAGTGGAGCTCGCTCTGTTCAAAACTGCTTAGTATCAGGGCATCAGCTTAACCAAATGCACAATGTCTCTTATCATAAGCATTAAAACAGATCACGTATTCAACTTTGAACCTTTTATCTCTCAAACTGATGTGTATTGCGGCACTTACTCTTCTCCTTTTGTCAAAGTTGATGTAGCCATTCTGCAAAGGAGTGACAGAATCTGTTATGTCAGCTCAAGAATTGTAAAACAAAAAGTCCAGGGGACGTGACAGAGATGAAATCAACTTACGTCCAGCCTGTCTTTGACTGCCGTGTCCAGCATGGTGAGGTCTGTGAGGAAGATACCCAGGTAGGGCACGGTGCCCTGCGCGTTGGACTGTGTGAGAAATAAAAGAAAGGGTTTCATCGGTTTCCTCAGAGGTTTCTACTCACAATGTAAAGAGCCCACACAGCGAGGGATTTCAGAGCTGCCACCTGCAGCTATTTTTCAAACGGTGGCTTGGGATTTAGCTCATCACACACGTACACAAAGACAACAGCTCGCTGTTCCACTTTGCTGCTGCGTGCTGGTCGATCGCCCTCACGACCCTCTATTAAACCAATGAAACAACCCCCGCTCAACAGTGTTGGTGTCTGAATGCAGAGTTTAACTTGTGTTAACCAATATGTTAACCTATCAGGAAAGTACTTTTAACTCCCCCCCAAAAAACATTGCCTACTCGCACATTAGTGACATGCTAAAACCACGCTCTGCAGTACATACGCTGCTGCGCACGTGTCATTCTGTAAGCCCTCAAACTTCATCTAAAACGGTGTCTCTGTCTTTTATAATGCTCATGACACGGTTGCAGGGTCTTACATCATTTCACATTTTTCCAAGGTCTACCATAAAGGACGGTGGGGGTGTACAACCCCTCAGGCTAAAATGTTTGGTATGTACCCCAGATGTGCGCTGTAAAGTTAGTGAAAATTGTTGTCTTTTATGTGCGTGCAGATCTGAAGTTTCGCCTCGGCAGAAGACCATAAGGTCATTTTAAAGGACTCCTCTGCTGCTGCAGCTATGTGGAAAGTCTTGATGATGTAATCCCAAATTTATTTGACACTCCACTGAGGGTTATTTAAGTCAAACTGTGGACGAAAGCTTAGAGCGGCACACTTGAGGCATTTAAGTAGAGTCCCCCAACAACAATCTCTTTTAAAGGTTGTTAAGGGAGTTCATTATCACACAAACAACTCAACCTGTTTTTAACCAAGTATTCTTCCACTGTCAGATGTTTAATCTCCACAACAAGTTTTGACAGTGTTTCCAGTTACCTTGTTAAGGTATCTGTTGTTGAGCCTGTTGTCCAGGTTGGCAAACTTTGACGTGCCCTCCTGCAAGAGAAAAAAACCAGAGGGACATCCCGAGTTTCAACCTGGATTAGTAGAACGTCATCAATTCTCCTCCTACTTTCAGAACAACAAAAATGCTTACAGTGACAACTGTATTGTACTGTATTGCATTTGGTCAACAATAAAAGTACGTGTTACACCCAAAAAGATGGAAATGCCAGCAGAGGCCACTGGTGTCTGCCATTAGAGGGACACCAAACTAGCACTTATTTGCACTTACAGTTGCTTAAAACTGAACACAAAATAAAAGCTCTTGATTTTGAGAGCTGACATAATTTGTATTTGTGAGTTTGTCAGAGACCTTTTTGCTGACAAAAGGCTAAAAATGCAAAACAGTGAACTTGAAGATGATAAAACTCCCTGAGGTCAGGCCTTAGACATGCCATACATTGTTAAAATAGATGTTATCTAACTTGGTTTATAATGTACAACAAATTGTATATTATTAACATTATTAGATATTAATTGTATAAAAAATTATGGACTTTGGAAGAAAGTTATTACACTGAGACAGTACAACAAATCTAATAGTGGGTTATTTAAATTAAAAAAAAAAGGTAAATTTACAGAGAAAAAAGAGATTTTATCTGATATTAATTTAATAAATGTTCATTTTTTGTAAAGGAATTCTAATGAACCCCATTCCATCACAAATGCTTCTGGCTGCTGTGTAATATGTGCCTGTGTTAGCCAACCTAATTACATTATAAATTCCAATCTGATGCAATAAAGAAATCCCTGAATCACCACACAATTAGACGCATCTGGAGTTTCAAGGGATGCTGCTGCAGCCTGGGCCTTGTTGGAAGAAAAAACATACTGGTGTTGATGAGCTGATCAGGTTTTAGTGTCAGGTAATGTTAGCTTGTGGTATTTCTTTTCCACTGCCAGCCTCTACAATGAGACAAAGTTGATCCAACCTTTTAAAACCAAGCAATGCGGTTGGTCTTAATTAAAATATGCAGGTTTAATTGTGGAATTTCTAAAGAT